TTCCTACCGCTACTTCTACCACTATACTACTACTACTACTACTACTACTACTACTACTACTACTACTACCACTACTATTACTACCACTACTACAACGACAGCTACTTCTACTACTACAACCACTACTACTGCTACTACTAATAATAATACTACTACCATCAGTACCACTACTACCATCGATATCACTAATACCTCTTCTACTACTACAACTACATATATTACTACTAGGCCAGTACTATTACTACTATTATTAACACTACTAATAATTATAATAATCCAACTACTACTACTACTACTACTACTACTACTACTACTACTACTACTACTACTAGTACTACTACTGCTAATACTACTAATTATTCGACTACTTTATCTCCTACTAGAACTGCTTCTACCAGCACTATGTTACTGCTGTCACTAGCTCTTTTATCAACTATCCGTGTAAATATGTAAATTCATTTCATTTGTAGTTTACTGTGTTTGAATTCATCATAATTCTGAGATGAATTCGAAAAATTTGAACAAGTAGGGAAAAAGGGATAAACGGTTTAAACTCATCTGTGATGAATAGGACAGACCAAAACCCTGCTACTACACGTCTATATTGGCGCGAATTACTTAAACGTTGTAAAACAGAAAGCACAATTCAATGGTATTATACAAAAGGAATCAACAGATACAAAACACTTTGAAAGAATAAAAATAACCTTGAACTCATTGGACGGAAAACCATTTCCGAAAGGAAATCACTTGTAAAGGGCACAAATTTGAAATACAGGGATTAGTATTATACAGCAGGGACAATACACGTACGTGATGGTTATATAAAGCCGCTTATCTTTTGGAGGGCAACGTCATATTAACTTGTTGTCTGTAAAATGACAAAAACACATGCACTTACATTTATCCCAATTATGAAAACAAAATTGAACTAAGAACTTATCTAATTTGATCATGGTTAGAGATTTCATTTGTAACTAACCAGCCCCCCCCCCCCCCCAAACGAAAAAAAAAATCCAGGAAATGAAATCGTATATTTGGACAAAAGGTTAACTTCATGAGGTGTATGTTGACAATGGATTATTTAAATGTAGAATGCATAGGGAGGCAAATGAAATACTAATAAATAAAAGATTATTTAGGGGAGAATGATAAAGAATTAGAGGATCTTATTTTCAATGCTGAATCGATGAAATCCTAGGCCTAAATTGTTTGAGCCTAAAATACAAAACATAAAGTTTTAAGTATAATAAAGTTGGCATAAGCATAAACGAACGGGCACATTGTTTCGGGGAATTGGGGGAGGGAATTGAATAAAAAAAAGCCTCTAAAAAGATAGTGTAAAGAAACAATAATCTGTTACTTATTTTTAATTTAGCGAATTCAGGAAAAGATAAAGTCAAAATCATGGTGTAGGAAAGCGTCATCGATAATAAAGTTTCCTTTATTAACCCAAACTTGATAGCAAAATACTCTTAAGAGAAAACAGAAAACTCAGAAAAGCAGACTGGTGAAAGTTTGAACTAAATCAGACAAACAAATAAAAGGTTATGAATTTTTGCAAGTTTTAATCACTATGGGCACTTCAAATTGGCTGAATCATTATGTCATGTCAATATAAGAAAGTGGCTGTCAACTAGTCCACTTGTTCTAACACACCAAGTGACTAAGATGTAAATCAATGACTCGGGAGTGTATATGTCATCCACAATATGATTAAAATAATGCCCAAGGGAGAAGGCGCTAATTAAGAGAAGAAAAAAAAACACACGAAAATCTATGGTATCTATGGTATTTTGTACACGACGAACGAGAGAGTTATACGCGACTACGTCACAATGCAGTAACCAAATTGCCGACTTGCATTTAACCTTTAGTGGTCTCACAATCCAAACTTTCTTATTATCGGTCCAATTTATTTTAACTTTTCGCGATTGTGTTTATTTATTATTTCCGCTTTCATATAGATGACATTCTTACAAAGGTTGGTTTGCCCTTTAGAAAAGTACAGGAAAAACTTGTCCTAAATGTTCATCTCTACACAATAAGGAAACAATTCAGACAAAAATGCAATCAATCCGATTTCACATAATTTGAAACATGATGAAATATGGATATGAAAACAGTTTCATTAAAGGGAAATCCAACCTCAAGATCAAACAACAAAACAAGAAAGCAGAAAATCAGAGAAGCAGACTGGTGAAAGTTTGAACATAATCGGTAAAACATAAGAAAATATGAACTTTTGAAAGTTGTAGTCCCTATACATGTATATGGAAACTTCAAATTGGCTGAATTGGTAATGTGACTGTGATGTAGTGTCAGACAACTTTCCCACTTGTTCCAAGAGACAAAATAACAAGTTTGTTTTAATGTATGTCTCTGGAGTCACTTTTTTAGAGGAGTTATCCATAATATTTTGAGTAGTGCTACAAAGGAGAGACACTTGGGAGAAAACCAGAAATTATGGATATTTTGTACACGACAAACGGTAGTCACAATACACTGACAAAATTGCCAATTTGGGATTCGCATAGTTAAAGTGATCTTATATTTCAAACATCCACAACTCTCTTATTGGTCTGATTTATTTAAGACTTTCACCACCCTGGTTCACTTATGTTTCTTCTTTCTTGTAAATGAACTTATTACACTGGTTGGATTGCCCTTTAAGCGAGTGTTCGTGTTATAATAGACCCAACATATACCTGGAATTAATCGTATTTCTTTAGGAATGTATTACTCTTGGAAACAAAGTAAAACACAACATAACACTACGAGTTTATTTTCTAAATAGGCCCAGAGTGTGGAGAAAAAATACTTCCGCAAGCAAAGATAGAAAAATTGATTCATTCAAACTTGTAACATGAAATTGTTGATACCAAGTTGTGAATAACAATAATAGTAATAATAACAATAATAACAACAATATTTAATAAAAAGCCATCTATCCTGAAGAAAATAAAATAAGATTAGACATCTTTCTTCGGAGAATTACCTTACTATACATTTTTAAATGCTTTTAAATAATAGTTAACCAAATCTATATTTGGTAAACTATTTTTAAAATATTGCAATAAGTGCGACTATTTTGAATTATGCAGAAGTTTCGAAGGCGATTCTTGTTACACTCAAAATACACATATTGTGTTTTAGGTTGAGGTATTACCAATAACGAACAGTGACGTGGAGGAATATAGATAATCAAAGATATAAATAATTCACCAATATAATCAAAGAAAACGACAAAAAAAAATTACTAACGGTAAAATGGGGTCGCAAGAATATTTTGAATACCAGAGAGGGGCTCAGACCATGGTCAGACAGAATTTACCGAGGCGATATAATCATTGCCACTGATACATACATTAATAGTAAGCATAACATCACTGTTTCATCATGAAGTTCGTATGCTAATTGGAGTAGTATGTATTATGCACATGATGTTTGTCATTCTCTCATTCTATCTATTATATAATTTACTGGAGAAATTAGTCTAAATGTGATTGGTTGGTGTCATGAACGGACGAATCTAACTCCAGCAGCCCAGCTGATGAACATGCAGCCAAATGTGAAAGCAATGAACTAACGTTTTGAACTCATTGCAATTTCGTGCAATACTTATCGTCATTTTTCATAATCACGTTATTATGTCCTAGTAACGCGTAACCTAAATAATACTGAGTGTGTGTGGGGGGGGGGGGGGGGTCGAGCCAAAGTGCCCAAAATTTATGTTTCATGTAACTACCGACGAAACACCGGAATGTGACGGAGAAAAAATCGACAAGTTTTGCTTGCAGTGTAAAGGCATGCAGCTTAAATTTACCATGCCTACTGCTCTTCTTTTTCTCTTCCTGACCACTTTCTTTTCCCCTCTTTCTCCTATTTCCTCTGTGGTATCCTGTACCACGTACGAACCAATTGCATTTGTTTAAAGACATGCTACTAGAAAATGTGTAAATTCAATTTTTATAACGCTACAGTTGTCCAACATCCTTTTTTTAAAGGAATTATTTGCCTTTACTCTGAGAAACTGAAATGAATCACTTCCTACTCTTCTATGCAAACATGGTAATGAACTTTAATTCATTTCTTAAATGTACATATACTGTTGGTGTAAACATGCCGGGCGTTCTCTACCCTCTCTCTCTCTCTTTCTCCCTTTCTCTCTCTATAACCATATTGTTTGATTTTTCTTTTTTTCCTTCTGTTTACAAGGGTTAAAAGTACACAGATCTCAACCATCTTTAAATCAACCCCCAATCTTTTCCACATGTTATGTGCTGATATTTCTTGAGTATTGTCAACTGTTTAAAAAAAATATCTACATACAATAAATGTTACCCTTTTTATCAATCTTTTGCTTGAAAATATTGATCTCTATTGTAACTTTTGTCATATGTTACTGTTTGAGTGGAACTAAATTGAATGTGCAATTATCTAAACTTCTCTCGATAAAACATTTATTGAACAATGAGACGAAGATTAATTTGCCCATCATAATGACTGATTGATAGTGGTAGGCCTATTATATTTTATCTTGTATAAAATAGGCAAAATTGTTAATGCCCATGCACTGTTTGCATGATCACTGCCTTGTTAACAATGTTAAGTTATGATAATATGCAAACATTAAGATTGAGACAACATTTATGATGTTGCTATATTAAATATGTTCTTATATCAGTTATATTCCTCCGAATATGACCGGTCTTTTCAGTCCTGCATTATGTACAACGCGTTTGTTTTTCTGACTGTATATAATGTGCTTAGTATATGGTCTTGAATTAACATGCATATTAATCATATTCTTTCTTAATGTTTATATTTTTATCGTTTTACGTTTCATGTAATGTTTTTATGTCTTTTTAAATGTAAAGACAGGGCCCCTTGGAAGAGCAATCATATTCGTTATTGAAAAACCCTGTTTAAGTGAAAAGATAAATATTAGTATTTATTAAATAACATTGATTTGAATATGGAATCATTTCTAAACTTACCCAGAACCAGAGGAAGAGTGACCGCTAATAATACACAGGCAACAATCAAATTGGCACGGGACGCCATTTTGCATAACCCAGTCGTGCCCTGGTGAAACACTTATCAAATAAACCTGCTCCTTTCTATCTTATCATGCAATAATTATTAAAGTCCCCGAATTCAGTGTGAATCATCGGTAGATTATACAGCGAGGCATCCATCCACGTTACACAGTGCGAAGAAAGCAATTGAATTTGTTAATGTTTTCACTCTGCTATGTAAATGTACCACCGAAATCTGATCCTCTAAAAACCACTAATGTCCTTGCCTCACACACCAATAACCGGGTTAAGATCCCAGTGTACATGCGCGTATCTTGTGTGCTCTCAAAATTTATCTGATACGGTCGTTTCGCTGAAATATGAGGAAGATAATTTCCCCAGTTTTTTATCCTTCACAATGAGTGTTCACCGATTCCGTTATGATGTTAGAAAGCCTGGTAGATATGTCACGAACAGCGCAATAAAGTAAACGTTGTTCACGAATTTTAAGAGTCAGTTTGAGGGTCTATTTTAAAGACGCTGCATGGTGATCGAAGCATGGACGTGGATTCCTAAGCCTGAATGTAGCTGGTCTTCTTTGGTTTGGGTTTAGCGGCTATAGGCAATGAGAGTGGAGGAAACGAGGGAAGTTCCTCTGTTTGTTCTTTGCCTGCCCACACTTCCTGATTAAAAGTAAAAGTATTAAAAAGGCTCAAGTTCATCTAAATCAAAACGCGTTTACACTATCTACCATTCACCTATGATGGTGTCTTCTTAACTACTTGTTATTTCCTTTTCATGTTCGTGAAAGGTAATGTATTATGCAAAGCTACCTGCTACATGTATTAACTCTTTTATTCCCACAAACACGGAATGCTATTGAATTAAGATATTTTGTTTATATTATAGGCTAATCTATCTTTGATGACGAAATGAGTAAAGGCCAGAGGTGACGTTGACTAGGTCCGGCCAAGGGGGAGCTGGAGTCCCAACTGACAACAAATTATTTCAAGCAGCTGCCGTTTTCTAAGGTTGCACAATAGAATCTACAGGTGTGCTCTTACCTTTGATGTTAGAGGTTCGAAGCCGCCAGTATCTTTGGAAAGTTTAAGTAGTAATTTTTTCACAAAGAGATATCGTTAATATTTCACTTTTTATTTGAACTATAACAAGGGAAAAATCGAACAGATGATAAAATATGAATACAAAACCTAATCGTGTCAAGAAATATGCCTACATTGTATAATAGCAGTTTTAATTTGCGAAATATAGTAAAGTGTTACAATCCTAAAACCTGCAATTTGAAACTTTTCCGATTATTTCCGGCTCATGAAATTTTTTTATAGGGCAGTTCTTTATGATGTTTGATGTCAGATTAGTGCCCACACAATGCCCAGTTGAGTAATTTTGATTAATATTTCTGTAAATGGTGCTCTATTTCTTTTCGCTTGCCTACTGTAAAGGTAAGCACTGTGTACTGCTCATATTATCAGGCGAGTGGTAGCGAAAAGTACTTATCATTACAAAAGCATATTTCCCTTTGAAAGTGGCCCGTTAGTTTGCAGCTAGGCAGGAATCTTTTGTCTACGTATATGACTCCATCTCTTAAAACTCCTTGGCCCGACATACTACTACATGTACCAAGTTTTAGGCGCGGTCGTGGAATTTCCATTTAATTTTGCCAGCTGGTATTTACATGGAATGTGCTATGATTTTTCATTTTTCAGGGGATTGCGAATACACTTGCGACTGAAAGTTGTTGGCGAAATAGCACTAAACTTTTATCTGGCCAGGCGTTGTTTTGCTCGAATACTGAACCGCTTGCAAATTTTCCAGATCCTTTTGATAAATGGGCAGGATAAAATTGGCCTAATATATGAAAAGAAATATAGAAAGACAATGTCGTTATTGAAATAGGAGTCGCATGATGTTTACCCGAATATTTTTTTTATAATAAATGATTTTGAATGGTAATAATAATAATAATTATTATTATTATTATTTGTTCATTTATCTATCTTTTTTTTTTTTGGGGGGGGGGGAGCGGTGGAGGTGAACCCCCTACCTAGCCCTCTGCTTTGATAAAACATAAATCCTGAAGTCTCTTCTGTTTGGTTGTAACTTGTAAGTACGGTCTGGCATTGGCGTATCGAGGGGTGTTTTGGGTGTTCAAACGCAACCCTCCCCCCCCCCTTCGCAAACAGGGGGTGTTTTTAGGTGTTTTTTTAGAGTTTTAAAGAAAAAAAAGGAGTGTCCTGCCCCCCCCCCCCCGTTGAGCACAAAAAAAAACTTACCCCAAACCCCCCCCCCCCCCCCCCCACCGCTTATTCGCCGCGTAAGATGTTCTCACAAATTGTAAAAAAAAATAGTGCTCCTTAGAGCAACTCCACCTCTTACCGCCCTCCCCGTCCACTATTTTACCGAACGCCCCTGCCTCATACATGTTGTAAAAATCTACATTCTTGAATTGGGATTGTTGCATGTTATTCGACATCCAACTACTCCTCCTCCTCCCCCTCCTTTCTCTTCTTCTCCTTCTTCATTTTCTAATTCCTTCTTCTAAATATATTTACTTTGGTCTTATTCTTGTTATGATTGCATACAAATGTTGTATTTCGGTATTACTCTGCAATCCCCGTGTTTATGTAATTTGACTATTTAGTGAGTTTTGTTTTGTAGATTCTACGACGAAACATTCCTTCTGTGTTTAAAGTTCAACAGCACACTAGACGGTTAGAATTATGACCTTAATTTAAACAATACATGACTTACATGTATTCACTTCTTATGTGCAGAAATAGAGAGCATTCCGGTCAAACAAATGTAATATTCTACCATCCAATCCAATACTCTTTACAATTTTCGGTTTCGACAACAAGAAATTAAATGTACCACAATTCACACTTGATTAGTACTTCCAAATGTGTTGTTTTTCTAGCTAAACTGATAACACTTGGAGCTAAATGCTTTATGAAGAAATAAAAGGACCAATTAAACCTTGGACAAAGGAGATATGCAATTTGGAAAATGAAACTAAAGATCTCCGTCCTTGATAAAAACTAATTAGAAGCAACAAAGAAGCATAAAGATTTGAAAGAAAGACGATGAAAAAACAATTACGTTAATACCGCAGATCGATGTTAATTACACATCGAAACCAAATGATTATTGACAGGGGCGTAAATCCGTACCGAGGAGTGGGGGGGGGGGAGATGATCGGCGATAGCCATCACATACTAGCAGGAGCACACGCCCACACTAATTTACGCAAGCAAGCGCGATCGCGCACGCACAAACACACATACACACACACACACACGCACACACACTCGCTCATTAGGGGTGTGTGGGTGATAGGCCTACCGCGCGAAGCGCGGAAGCTTAGACGTTTTCTTAAATTATTAGTAAAAGAAGACGATTAATTGTACCGTTCTCTACTGTTAACCTTGTCTGAACGAATCCCCCCCCCCCTCCCGCACGAAGCGCGAAAGCTTTGGCGTTTCATTAAATTATTATAAAAAGGAGACGATTTGTTGTACCGTTCTCGACTGTAAATCCTTGTCTGAATTCAGTTCCCCCCCCCCCCTCCCGCGCGGAAGCTTTGGCGTTTCATTAAATTAAAAGAGAAAGTAGACGATTTGTTAAACCGTGCTCGACTCTTAATCTTTGTCTGAATACGTTTTACCCTTCCCGCGCAAAGCGCGGAAGTTTTGACGTTTCATTAAATTATTAGAGAAAACAGACGATTCGTTGTACCGTTTTCGACTCTTAATAAGCCCTATTTATCTGAATTCAGTTTCCCCCTCTCGCGCGAAGCGCGGAAGCCTTGACGTTTCCTTAAATTATTAGAGAAAGCAGACGATTGGGTGTACTGTTCTCGACTCTTAATTCTCGTCTGAATTCAGTTTCCCCTTCCCGCGAAAAGCTTAGACGTTTGATTTAATTATTATAGGAAGAAGACGATTCTTTGCACCGTTTTCGACTCTCAATAAGCCCTATTTATCTGCATTCAGTTTCCCCCTCTCGCGCGAAGCGCGGAAGCCTTGACGTTTCCTTAAACTATTAGAGAAAGCAGACGATTGAGTGTACTGTTTTCGACTCTTAATTCTCGTCTGAATTCAGTTTCCCCTTCCCTCGCGAAGCGCGAAAAGCTTAGACGTTTGATTTAATTATTATAGAAAGACGACGATTCGTTGCACCGTTTTCGACTCTTAATAAGCCCTATTTATCTGAACTCAGTTTCCCCCTCTCGCGCGAAGCGCGGAAGCCTTCACGTTTCCTTATCATGACATACTGTATACGTGTAGGCTATACATAAACAAAATAACTCATTTCTCATGCATTATGCTGCAATCGAAACAACCACATTTTTTTCTTCTTCTTCTTCTTCCTTTTTTTCCTCTTTTTTTTGGGTAATATCAGGGGGGATGATTGTACAGGCCATTCCCCCTACTTCAAACCAGGGGGGGGGTGCAGCCCCCCCCCCCCCATCCCCCCGGGATTTACGCCCCTGATTATTGACATCAATTAACAAAACAATGAAAAGCCTCCAATGTCCCCACCCCCACCCCCCGCCCTCACCGCCAAAAAAGTAGTATAATCTACAACGATGTTGTTTACGCGGCACATTTACAATATTATTAATTTTTTAAGTACATTGTATTTTAGTGCTACAACTCACACCGGTTTTATATCAGGTACATGTATATCATAATCGCAACGATCTCATTTGTGGAAGCATTGAGTGACACCTTTGTAAGAAACTGTTTGTGTTACATCATACACGTACAGGTATGACCGTATGTTATTTGTTTCTTTTTGTACTTTTATTGGGGATGCGTTTAGAGAGCAGCCTGTGGATTATTGCGCAAACAATGACTGTATTTTGAAAGAAACTGGCAAAGGACTAACTGCATACATTTACAATATAATGACATTTTAAACCAAACCCCGCTAAGGCTCCAAATACCAATAATATCCAATATATTGTGGGGGTACTCTCTGAAAAATGAATTAAAAAGAAGTGAATTTTCACTCCCCCGGGAGCGTTATTTTTTTTGCGGCACAGATTGGGGTTAGGTGCGTGTTGAGCCTATGGTAAAGTTTAGGGTTAGGGTTAGGGTTAGGGTTAGGGTTAGGGTTAAATCAAGACCTCTTTTAAAAATAACGCCCCCGGGAGTTAGGTCAGTGATCACTTGCTTAGGAGTGAATATTGATTGATTTTCGAGTGCTTTTCTAAAAAGAAGAATGAATTTTCACTCTATTTTCACTACATTTTTACTATCCATACATTCACTCGATTTGGGTAATCATTTTGTACAAGTGTTATCTCCTCAGTGGCTTAAGCTTCAAAATAATTTCAACAATTTTCTCTCTGAATCTAGTAGTAGTGTGGTCCAATGTTTTATTTAACAGCTGCTAAAACTAGGCGTCATTCATCTCGACAACAGAAGGAAGAACAAATAAAGAACAAACGTTGTACACCTGTTTCATGGCAGACGACACAATGTTTTAATTCCTCTTTGTATTATTTCAAGTATTCATGGGAACTAAATCAAAACACCTTCTCGTGGTATGCAACATAGAGAAATAATTGTTCACATATAACAATAACAACAATACTTTCATTTATAAGTACACCTTTTCGTCATTACTTTTAAACATACACTGACTTTGTTTTCATTACAAAGCAATTATACAGAAAAAGATTTATTGTTAATAGCATTGACATAGAACGGCATGTTTACATTTGTTTAACACTACCTTTCATTACACCCACAG